TGGCAGAGTCTTAACTTTGATAAAGAATATCTCTTTGGTTTTGAGACTTTAGTCTTTGCAACTTCAGGGATCTTATCTATGCACAATCAGCTTGTAACACTCCAAAGAGAAAGGAAAACTTGAAATCGCATCATATGACCCCTTTAAAGCAGCAGTTATACTGGGGCCTCAGCACTCACTACTATGAATGAGACACTAACCGGGAGCGGCGGACTTGCTTTTCTTCTTGCTGGGATCGGCTTCTTCTCGTTCAGCCGCGTCCCCGTTAAGGATCAGCGTGTCCATGCCTGGCTGTACCGGCAGCTGCTCGGTCCCGTTCGCCTCCATGATTGCGGACGCGAGTGAGGGACCGATGCATTATGAGAGGAGCTGAGAAAAGCTGCCGAATCAGCTGAGGGCATGACGCGGAATGCGAAATTACAAGCATCCTACTATGGCGAAGAATAAACTCATGAATGTTAATTGGATTACGCAGACGGACGCTGCTGTGCGTCCTGAAAAGTAATCTAATTAATATTCAGGAACATGCCTTCGCTATAACATTGGTTAATTGGCCAGCTGACTAGTTCGTTCTGCTTCTTAGCCAATCAGATAAGACCAATGGGCAAACGTCACTTTATATAATGAATATTCATAAATCAAGCCTCCAGTGGGGTTTGTAACGTAGCGAGCGGAATATTAAAGGGATAGTTCACCCAAAAATGAAAATTACCCCATGATTTACTCACCCTCAAGGCATCCTAGGTGGTGTATATGACTTTCTTCTTTCAGACGAATCCAATCGGATTTATATTTAAAAATGCCCTGGCTCTTCCAAGCTTTATAATGGCAGTGAATGGGTGTTATTTTTCCAATAGTCCAAAAGAAGTCCAATAAAGTGCATCCATCCATCATAAATAGTGTCCCACACGGCTCATATTTATTATTTAATAAAAATATTAATTTTGTTTATTATATATTATAATTGAAACATTATATTATATTGTTATACACATATATTTAAAATAAAGAAAAACAATTATTATTGTTGTACTTATAATTATTATATTGTCCAGTAGATGGCAGAAACTTTCATTTAATGGCATGTGTTTCCTAGTGGTACAGTGGTAAGAGAGCATTGATTCAAAAGACAAACACATATGTACACGTACTTTATTTCACAAATGAAATGCAAGATTGCCACTTTTTTACTGAGGAAAAACTTGAACCTTTAGAAAAGGCAAAACTAGTGTCCAGTGAGGACAAACACATAAAGACAGTCTCAGCCTCTGCAATTGTTTGAGAGTCGTGCATATGCATGGGGGGAAATTAATTGAGAATGTTAGACATAAAAACAACATACGAGTCACACACAAACATCGTTATATCTAGGATTTTGCTCTCTGGTTTTATCAACATTGTCATTAACATTCTAAGTCTCATTGTAACATTTAAGTGTAGTTGTAAAGTGCAAAAGTCCTTACATGGGAACATTGTTTAACGCAAGTTCAACTGTAGCTTGGTACCTTTTCCACAGTGTTAAGTTAAAAGGGGGTTTAAGTTTAAAACTGGGTTTTGTGTGAAAGGCAGAGGCAGCCTTGAAGATTATTTGAGAAAATCTTAAAATCAGTATTTTTTTAAACTTTAATAAGGACCTGATAATTTGTGGTTTTATGCGAAAATCACAATGTCAATTTCAGGCAGTTTGAAAGCCTGAAACTGGTAACAAGTATGTTTTAAAAGTTAGTTGAAATTACTTTGAAGCAGTAACCTTGTTACAGTGGTGAAATTCAGCTGCGTCTGAAAAGAAACTGTCAAAGTTTGATGCAGAAATTAAATCAGGACAGCTATTTATTTCCATAAAGATCGACCTCGCAAAAACATACAAAATGGAGGCTTCACTGCAGGAGAGACGCTGTCTTTTTTTAGGACAACATACCAGCTGCAAACCAGTAGGATGCGAGTATTAAAGGGGTCATATGATGTTGCTAAAAAGAACATTATTTTGTGTATTTGGTGTAATGAAATGTGTTTATGTGGTTTAAGGTAAAAAAAAACATAATTTTCCACATACTGTACATTACTGTTTCTCCTCTATGCCCCGCCTTTCTGAAACGCATAGATTTTTACAAAGCTCATAGGTCTGCAAAGCGAGGTGTGCTCTGATTGGCCATTTTTACGTGTTGCGTATCGTGCCGCGTAAACATAAAACCATGTATGCATTTGTGATCGGAGAAACGACAAACAAGCGCTACTCAAAACTCGCGTTTGAATCGTCAGTGGCAAATTCTTTAAATATGAACTTACCAGGCTGTCCTTGCAAAGTTGGAATTGCCCCACTTTATAGAAACGGACACCGGCATTGTTGGCTACTCTCACAGGAAACAGTCCTCATCCTCCGTAAAATGCGCTGCACACATCTGAATATTTGGGTTGAACTGTTCTGGAACAGTGTTGTAAATATAACTTAACCACTGATTTCTAGTCGTGTCCTCTTTTGGAAGACCAAACAAAGTAGTTTCGCTTTCACAACGAAATACACAGCGACTCCACAACATGGCGGCGGCGGCAACAATACTACAGCGAGAATAAAAGTTACGCCTTCTTTCTTTGCATGAATATTTGGGCGGCGTTATGCAAATCTTCCCACACAGTGACGTAGACATGTGGGGGCGTGTTTAAACGAGGCGTTTTAGGTAGGCGTGGCTGACTCTTAACTTTTATAAAGAATATCTCTTTGGATTTGAGACTTTAGTCTTTGCAACTTTACAGATCTTCTTTATGCACCAAGAGCTTGTAACAATCCAAAGAGAAAGGAAAAATTTAAATCGCATCATATGACCCCTTTAACTTTGCCTTTTTTGTTGTAATTAATGAGGTGAATTGCATGCGTGGGTCATATTTCACCCCAAAATCAAAATCTTCATAGAGAAAAGGAAGCCTATTTCTGATACAATTAAGATTGTAATAGTATAATATTATAATAGATAATAATAGTAATATAAAATATTGCACTGTTTTGCATTTTGCTCAGAAACTAGCAGCACGTAGCCTAGATTTATGCTTTCAGTTCGAATGGTAATCTTACATTACAGTTAGTCGGTCTAAAACAGTGATTGTGCAATAACTGCTGTCAACCATGTCATTATGCAAATGAGAGGTCTGAACTTATTTACCCAGAGCATTTTTCATTTTGGTCGCGCAAGCGCACCTGTGCACCCTATATGACCACAATTCAAAATATTCAACATTTCATTGTGGAAATGAAAAAAAAAAGAAAAGTCAGGATCTCATTCTCATTACAATTCAAAATATACATATATATATATATATTAAAAAAAATAAATAAAAAAAAAGTTATCAGTGTAATGTGAAAAAAAAAATCAATAATTAATTCTCATTTCAAAATAAATCAAATCGCCATTAGTGTATTAGAGGGGACAAAATCTTGTTACCCTATATATAATATTTTTTTAAAGCCACATAAAATGTACAGCATTTCCTGCATTACACTAACAACAACTTTTTTGTATTGCGGTAAAAAGAATGAGCTTACTTGTCATGAAAATAATGTAATAATACACACAATCTTAAGTGTACTAAAACAGACTTCATTTTACATTGAATTGAATTTAATTGGGGTCAAATATGACACTGACATGTTCTTGTTGGGCTTTGTGAGACATACCCTTTATAGGCATTTAAGAGCTTGTTTTGGTTCTGTGTAGGACCTCTGTTACAGTAAATAAAACTGGGACATGGCCAAGGGCATGTAGTTTTGCAGTTTGAGTTTGTGTTAGTGTGTGTGAATGTTTAGGTTTTGGTCTGTTATTTTGTGTACTAGCATGTGCCAGTCTGTACCTGAGGCCTGTCATGAGGAGAGTGGACGTGGGATGTCACATGAAACATAAATTCCCCAAACACACACACACACACACACAAATATATGCACTTTAAAAGAGACGCACCAAAAACAGATTCCCACACCAGCTACATCCAATGATGTCTGTGACCTGAAATCAAGCTCAATAAATACAACCAAAAGGATGAGAATAAATATCTTGCCGTTTCAGTCCTCCTCAGTTTCTCTCGTCTGCGGTGATGTCACTTCCTCTTCCTCCTCCGAGTCCCCATAGGTGCATTCCTGTATGTGTGTGAACGTATGCGAGCGCGCTGCTACCTGGGCGGCCAGGGCGGAGCTGAAACTGATCGCTTCTGAGCCATGCAGTTCTGTCAATCTGTCAATCACAGAGAGGGTGGGCACTCTGGGCGTGAGTGGGTGTGTCCCAGCATGCCCGTCATCTATAAGCCCGTCTGATTGGAAGAGCTGTGTTTCCTCCACAGTCTCCTCACTGGTATCTTTAGCTGCCCCAGGTACATCAGAATCTCCACTGCAAAATTCAGTAACAGAATCTTTCTCTCTTTCCGCCCCACTCAGAATTTCAGTCTGCTGTTCACTTTCATTCTCCTCTCCTTGTTGGGAGACATGGTTGTCCGTGGTAGTCATGGACTCTGCCGAAATATGCGGTTCTAAAGAGTTTGTGTCCGTTTTTGATGTGTCCTTAGCAAATGGAGCCAGGGCAGCTAGAATGACAAAAAAGACAATGACAAACAAATGTTTTTTTAACCTACAAGTAGTTTAAAACTTGACTGTATCGATATGATTAAATAAGCTTGCAACAAAAGCTAAAAACAAACAGAAGCTACGCTAACTCAAGTTTATTCTAAATATAATTAATCAAACTAAGCAAACTAAACTAACGTTTTAGATCATTGAAATGAAGCTGAAACCAAATAAAACATAAATGACTTAAAAATAAAAAAACGTAAAAATTTAAATAGGGATGCACGATTTTATCGGACCTACAGTGGTGTGAAAAAGTGTTGGCCCCCTTCCTGATTTCTTATTTTTTTGCATGTTTGTCACACTTTAATGTTTCAGATCATCAAACTAATTTAAATATTACACAAAGACAATGCAAGTAAATACAAAATGCAGTTTTTAAATGAAGATTTCATTTATTTAGTTTTATGAACTAAAACAGTCTGAAGCAGCCGACTCACGTAAACTCTGTTATAGTATGTAAGAACCAAGAGTGTGTTTGTGCATGTAGTACCCTGATCACTGAACAGCAGAAGCTTGCGCTTGTCTCTCTCTCCATCTGACGTTCGGATTCCCAGGACAGATTTCAGCTCGAGTAAAACATGTCTCGACTCCACACGTTCACGACGCTGGCGCTCCTGTTCCCATGGTGACAGCATGTCCGTGGCCCCTCTCCACTCCGTCTCAGAGTCAGAGTCAGAGACATATGCTTCCAGTTCCTGGCCAAGACAAGCATCTTGTTTAATCCCAACTAGCTAATAAGATAATAACCACAAACCACATATGAATATCTCTGCATATCTGCTATTAGCAACACTGAAATTTTAGCAGTTTGTTTTGCTTTGCTCCACAATTTACATCTATGAAATTCTGAAGTCCTTTGTGAGATATAAAGGGGAAAAAAATGTTGATGACAACAATAACAAGCACTATACTTACAAACAATAAACAAGTGAACTAGATTTGGACAAAAATATGAGTGCTTCTTGTTTGTCATGTCAAAATGTAATACTTGTACGAGTCAATGATAAATAATAATTTAATAAATTAATTAATCTAGTTTAAAATGCATGTGCCTAAATATCACGTAGCACAAGTAAAAAAAAAATATATATATATATTTTCCATTTTCCTTAAATTTTTGTCAGTGTATATTTCCTAATCAATATTAATGCATTTTGTAAATATTTTAATGTATTTTGTCAGGTTGTTTTAAGCAAGTTTAAGGAACTTTTTTTTTATTATTTTTTTTTTTTTATCATTGCACCACATGACATTCTTCTGAACTAATTTATCATAAAAAGCTCAAATTATATTTCAAGACACTTACTGACTTTGACACACGATCATGAAGGTCTTTATGGGTCCTCTCTATGATTTTTATTTTCTGAATGTTTCTGTATGCTGGTTGTACCAGCAGGCAAAAGATTTTTCAAATAATAATAAGCAGTATTATTAAAATGTATTACAATTATTTATATAAAAATAATAATGAAAGATTAAAATTCCTTTGAAGAATTTATTTTATTCAATGAGACTGTTTCTTTAAAGGTGACATATCATGAAAATCTGACTTTTTCCAGTTTTAAGTGCTATAATCTGGTCCATCCCAGGAACTGTGAAAAAGATTAACCCAGTAACTTTGTTTTGGTAAGCCTTTTTCTGCAAGCGTCTGAAAAAACGAGTGCGTCAGATTTCGCTCCCTCTCACCGCCCCTTTATCTGCACGTTTCTACTAACGCAAACTTTTGTGTACTTGACAGTTTAAGTGCAATAAGACATGAAGAGAAATTAATTTTGTGCTCACATGCCGTGTGACAGCCGCTTCCTGTGCGCGTGCTACGGATGTGTGCGCTCAGAAAGCTCTATATCAGAAGTTTAAACTAATGTGGCTTTAAAACGCATGATTTCAGCGCGATAGACATTTTTATCTGACGTACGAGCTGTAAAGGAACAGCCCTATTCTGGAAAAGGGGGCGGGGAGCAGCAGCTCATTTGCATTTAAAGATACATGAACGATAACAGCGTGTTTCTGCTTCCTCTCAAAATAGGCATTTTCAAAATGATATAATAAATGATCTGTGGGGTATTTTGAGCTGAAACTTCACAGACACATTCTGGGGACACCTGAGACTTATATTATATATTGGAGAACGGGGCATAATAGGTCACCTTTAAGATGATATCAGGACAGCTATATCAAAAAAAAGAAAAGAAATTACACAGATTTTATTTAAAACAATCATAGAAATGTATTCAAGTCTGCTAAATGATTAAATGTAAATTGTGAATTAATTAATACATTTATAGATAAAATGAGCATCATGTCATTGACCCACATCAACTCTAAGTATGAGCAGTAATAATGAAGCTTGCCTTAATAAACACCACTAATACTACAGATGCTAATACTTTTCTCATGCTTGAAAGTACACTCACAGACACAGACACAGTACCTGTTCCTCTGGGACGGGGTCTCTGTCCTGTATGCTTGTAATGGGGGCAGGAGGAGGGGGATCTGGGGCAGCTGTTTCCTCTGGCTGATCTGAACTCTCTGTGGAACACACACAAACACACAGTATCCTGTTAATGTGTGTCTCCTTTCAACAAGTGACACAGGACAAATTCAGTTTCTAGATTTTACGCACTAAAATCTATGGAAATTGAATGCCATTGTCATTATTATTATACACTAGTTTGATCAAAATAAAGGAACTTAAAAGACAAATAGTGTGATGCAAATGAATGTAGGCATTACGATATTATAATGCACAGTATAAAATACTGAAAAATATTATTTTTGAAACCTGCTACAGAAAACAGTAAACTGTTTAAAAAAATAGATTAAAAAAATTATAACAGGGAAAAGAGCACTGATGCCAGTTAGAAAGTCTTACAAGTTCAAAAAATTGGCTGAAACTATAACAAATAAAGATCTAATATTGGCATATAAGGATAAAGTATAAAATCAAATAATAAAATAAATGGCTGTTATCAGGTCATAATAATATTTTACATAAATGTCCTGTTTTTTTATCTGCTCCAACCTGTGATGGCCACAGGAATGCATTACTGGATCTTGCGCTAAGTATTGAAGTTATTCCATTAAAAATAGCTGCTGTTGTTTGGCACCCATGTGCAGATGTGCAAAAATACATCAAACAACTGCACAGCAGAACTTTGACCTTCCTACATTAAAACCACCAGCCCTGAGGAGGGTCATCATATGACGCTGGGAATCACACGACCATTGACTTCACCTACATGTGCATTGTGGCCTAATTCTGTAAAGGACGTCACCCACCCCCTCCCTATCTCTGTCTTTTTTTACCCTCCTACTTCCCTAAAGCTCCCGAAAATAACTGAAGGGAGGGAAATCAGTCGAATAAGGAACTCTAAAAATACCACAGAAACACACAAAGGCTGACGCACATATTATATGGTGAGGACGTCATCTAGAGAGCTCATAGATACTTTTATGGTTATACTGCCATGTGGCAAAGCTCTCTGCATTAACTGATTTTGATTGGTCAATTCTTGGTTCTTACTGGTCAATTGTTTCTGCAATGAAATATTTTTTCTATAAGACTGATCATTTTGGGCTGTAATTACCAACTGTATGAAATCCCTTATAATATCCTTTCTATTGTCTTATGGATATTTTTTTACCCATTTATGGTACCAGGATTTGTAATGTTTCTGGATGAACCATTACATTTTTGATGAAATTAATGCAGCCTTGGTGCTGCATTTATTTCATCAAAAATGTAATCAAAAAACACTAATGTTATGAAATATTATCACAATTTAAAATAACTTTTTTTTTTAAATTGTAATATATTTCAAAAATGTAATTTTGTAATGGAATTTACTCATTATTCCAGTCGAAAAGTTAATAAAACTGCTTAATATTTTTGTGGAAACCGTAATTTATTTTTTCAGGATTTCCTGTTGAATAGAAAGCTCAATAGGACAGTATTTATTTGAAATAGAAATCTTATCTAATATTATAAATGCATTTACAGTCAGTTTTGATCAATTTAATGGGTCCTAGCTTAATAAAAATATAAATTAATCATTAGTACCAATTGATTCTTTTTTTTTATCAATCAAAAAAAAAAAAAAAGATTTGGAATATAATTTGGAATAGTACATAATGATCATGACATTTTTATTTTTGAGTGAACTACTCCTATAAGGCTGCAATCTCAGCGCCGTCAAAATAAAAGTCCCGCCTCGAACACATCGGCCAAACAGAAAAACTTATCGGCCGATGCCGATATTTGAAAAATGCCAAATATCGGCCGATATATCGGTCGACCACTAATTATTAGCTATTTTGAAAAGTTAATAAAACTGCTTAATATTTTTGTGGAAACCGTAATTTATTTTTTCAGGATTTCCTGTTGAATAGAAAGCTCAATAGGACAGTATTTATTTGAAATAGAAATCTTATCTAATATTATAAATGCATTTACAGTCAGTTTTGATCAATTTAATGGGTCCTAGCTTAATAAAAATATAAATTAATCATTAGTACCAATTGATTCTTTTTTTTTATCAATCAAAAAAAAAAAAAAAAGATTTGGAATATAATTTGGAATAGTACATAATGATCATGACATTTTTATTTTTGAGTGAACTACTCCTATAAGAAGGACCTTTAGCACGATTGTATTAATAATTCATTTTTAATTTGAAGTAATTTCAAATGTCTCAAATTCAATTTAGGTGCCATTTCTTAGGACTATACTAAATTATAACTAAACTAAAATTAAACATCTTTAAAAACACTCTAAAACATAATTAGAAATGGATTAGCACATGAATGAAACTAAATGTGTAATGAAACAAAACAGCGATTCAACTCCTATTCCAAAGTGGTGTGCTGTGATTGTTTGAGAGGATGACCTCTGACCTGGGCAGCTGGAGACTCGGCGTAGCATGCGGTCGACCTGTGCGAGTGTGTCGTCCCAGCAGCAGGTGCTGGCCTGCATGTGTGGCTGCAGCAGCTCCAGGCGCTCCTTCAGCTCCTGATACCCCGCACACGTCACCTCCTCCGTCTCCTTAGCAACCATTAACTTTTCCAGATCATCCTCAAGAATTATGACCCTATAAGAAAAAAAAAAAAAACTTAAGGTTCATCAGCTTATTCTACAGCAAAATTACCAATGTGTTATACTGGAATAGTTTGTGCACCATAGGTAAAGGATTATATATGTACAGTATATATATATATTTATTTTACATTTTTTTTGTATTCAGCACAGTAAATCAGCTGCTACTGAGTCAAATCTTATTATGTTTTTTTTTTTTTAGGAAATTAGTAATTTCAGCAATTTTTGGTCATTTAAAGTAACATAAAACTATAAAAATAAAAATAACAATAAACACTAAGAAGTACATACTCGTTTAAGAGTGTTTTCAGGTGAAGTTGTAAACTGCGGACAGACGTGTGCAGAGAATTGAGCTCTCTACACTTCTGTTGAGCGCGCCCATTTCTTTCTGTGGGCAGCGACTGGTGCTGCGTCTCAAAGTAGCGATGGAAATCATAGCTGCGCTGAAGGTCACCAAGGCAAGCGGCCAGGGTGCGATGGAGAGAGTCAGTAATCAACGGGACGCTGCTGTACGTGAGGGGGCTGGGCCTGGAGTCTAGCTCCTCCCTCCCTGGAGACAACAGCAGAGCTAATCGCCGGAAAAACTCGGAGCTCTGCCCGACCCACAACTGGAACAACATCTGCAAAACAATCAATGTTTAATGAAGAGAATGATGTGCATTTATGTCAACAACAGGCTGGGCAATATACTGAATAGTTACAGTACAGTCACAATGATTATGTTAAAGCTATAAAGAATAGCATCATGAATAATGAATATTGTAATGTTAATATGTCGTTTATTTGACCCTTAGGTGTGGAATAGTGCCTCTTCCTTGTGTCCGGACTCGAAAATAACAGGAAAGGGCTACAGTTTGTTAAGTATGATTGTCTTTCTTTCTTTCAAATGGTCAAATTCAATGATTTAATCCAAATAATTCAACAATTTGTTTGCATCATCACAGGAAAACTTTCACAGAAGTCCCAGCATGCCATTTCATGAGCTTTTAAATACATTTTACTTTGATTTCCTTAATATCTACTTGGTAACAATTGTTTTTTTTTGTGTGTGTGTATATATATGTATATGTATGTATGTATATATATATAAAGTGTATGAAAATATGTGTATAAAAAACATTTATAAAAAGTCTTTATCTTCACAAGATATTGTATAACTAACAATTATTATAATAACAATTTATTATTATACAGTATAATAAATAAATACAAAATAAAATCTAAATAAAAAGTTTGCAGCATCACTGCGCTTTTAAATTATTCATGAAAAATATATGCAGGTAGATATTGTTTTTTATTGTTATTGTGCAAGCAAACGAATGATTGCACGAGTCCCCTGGGGCGAAAAAAAATACTTTTGACAAATTCACAGAAAATAAATAAATAACAAGATTTATTTACAGATAAATATCAAGATCATCCTCATACCTAGATATTGTCAAACACTGAAAAATATCAAGAAATTCAGCTATATCGCCCGGCCCTAATCAACAGTGTGCGTTTCTGTACCTTGAGTGCAGGCAGACTGTAATCATTGGTCAGTTCTTGCGCCTGCTCGTCAGAAAGATGCTCCACCCCCAGACCGAGACCAAGCTCTCTGATTGGCACGGTGGACACGTAGTTGGTGACATTGTCAATCTCCGAGTTCAGCGGAAATGTAAAACATAGTCAAGGACTCAACCAAGTGAATTAAATGTTCAGAAATCACATTGTAAAAGCAGTTCATCACAACTGCTGCTGTTGGATCAGGATATGACTTGAGCATGACGCATGTGGCGAGGCGAGAGGCTCGGAACGCACAGCGAAGACTCTGATAGGCCGCCTTCCGCAGACCAATCAGCTGCTGGCTGCGAAGCTGCCCCACCCTGTTAAAGGGACAGGCGGCACTCACCCTGTCGAGTAAACTTGACAAGTGAAATGTGATCCAACTGTGCAGACGTCCGAGAACCATCAGGGCAGACACACATCACATACAACACATATAATACTACTAGACACTATGTAACACATGAAACACAAAAATTAAACTGATACACTACAGTTCAAAAGTTTGGGTCAGTAAGATGTTTTTTGGAAGAATTATATTGTGAAATGTTAGCATAATTTAAAATAACGGTTTTCTATTTTTAAATATATACAGTGGGGAAAAAAAGTATTTAGTCAGCCACCAATTGTGCAAGTTCTCCCACTTAAAAAGATGAGAGAGGCCTGTAATTTTCATCATAGGTATACCTCAACTATGAGAGACAAAATGAGAAAAAAAAATCTAGAAAATCACATTGTAGGATTTTTAAAGAATTTATTTGCAAATTATGGTGGAAAATAAGTATTTGGTCAATAACAAAATTTCATCTCGAAGCTGCCCCACCCTGTTAAAGGGACAGGCGGCACTCACCCTGTCGAGTAAACTTGACAAGTGAAATGTGATCCAACTGTGCAGACGTCCGAGAACCATCAGGGCAGACACACATCACATACAACACATATAATACTACTAGACACTATGTAACACATGAAACACAAAAATTAAACTGATACACTACAGTTTAAAAGTTTGGGTCAGTAAGATGTTTTTTGGAAGAATTATATTGTGAAATGTTAGCATAATTTAAAATAACGGTTTTCTATTTTTAAATATATATATATTTAAAATGTAATTTATTCCTGTGATGGCAAAGCTGAATTCTGACGTCTTCAGTGTCACATGATCCTTCAGAAATCATGCTGATTTGCTGCTCAAGAAACATTTGTAATTGTTATCAATGTTGTGCTGCTTATTTTTTTTAAATCAAGCTACACTATTTTAAAGATTTAGAACAGCATTTATTTGAAATATATATTTCGTGAACTAGCCAATTACAAGTGCATAACTAGCAACAGTGCGACACAAACTTGCAATTCTGAGAAAAAAGTTAGAATTTTAAGATAAAATCTCATAGTTGTGCGAAAAAAGGTCAGAATTACGAGATATGAAGTCATAATTAACTTATTTTTCATTATGTGGCAGAGAAAAGCTTCCATATATAACACCACATACACAAACATATAATGAGATGTGACTAAAGTGGTTGGGGTCACCTCACTATGTGGGAAGATTTGCATAACGCCGCCCAAATGTTCACGCAAAGAAAGAAGGCGTAACTTTTATTCTCGCTGTAGTATTGTTGCCGCCGCTGCCATGTACACACCTCGCTTTTTCAGAACGATTTCAGAAAGGCGGGGCATAGAGGAGAAACAATAATCTACAGTATGTGGAAAAGAATGTGTATTTGAAATATATATTTCTTTGCAACAGTGTAAAAATCTTTACTTTCACTTCTTATCAATTCAATGGATAAAAGATTGAATTTATTTAAAGTAATAAATCTCACTGACCATAAACATTTGAACAGCAATATTACTAGTAATAATTACACGTACTGTATCTAGTGAAAGACAAATTACACTCAACATGTAGCATTATGTATATAGGGAAAAACAGTCAAACTCTGAAAAATTATCAACTCAGAAAAATTTACTCACTATGTGGGAAGATTTGCATAACGCCGCCCAAATGTTCACGCAAAGAAAGAAGGCGTAACTTTTATTCTCGCTGTAGTATTGTTGCCGCCGCTGCCATGTACACACCTCGCTTTTTCAGAACGATTTCAGAAAGGCGGGGCATAGAGGAGAAACAATAATCTACAGTATGTGGAAAAGAATGTGTTTTTTTTTAACCTTAAATCGCATAAACACATTTCATTACACCAAATACACAAAATAATGTTATTTTTAGCAACATCATATGACCCCTTTAAGATTTAATTTCATATTTGAAATCACCAATGAAATCTGACAACAACTGTCTCATAAATGTTGTTTCTTTTGCTCAAATTGCGTTAAAAAAGCTTATTTTTCAGGCTAGACCAGCCAGCACACATGCGCAGTCTTGATTGCGCAACTCAGAACGCTGACTGTTTCTATAGAAAAACCAGGACTTCTAACGGTAGCTGCAGTGACGCTCTGACTTTACCGATTAGCGATTGGCTCTTTTACTCCGAAGGCGGGGCTTCGTTCGACAGAGCGGCCTATTGAGCGTTGCATTTTCCCCCCATTCAAAACTATACGAGTGACACGTCTTGGGTATTTTATAGTCTTTGGTTAGATTAAGCAAACCCTATGGAGATGGAATCAATTATTACATTATTTGAAAATAGGCAAGTAAAAGAAAAAATGCATTACTTTGAACAAAACTCACTTTATACACAAATCAGATTTAACTGAGAAATTTGTTTAGAAAATTCCTTTGTCATTTAAATTTTAAATCACAAAAATAACAGACAATAATAAAAAAAAAATATATATATATATGTAAAGCATTTTAAAAAGCCCTTGTCAGTTGCCAATTCAGTTACAATTTGCCAAATACATTTACAATGATTTTGAATAAAAAATATTTATACATGTTTAACAATGTAGTTAAACATAACAAAAATCCGTTTTTTTAATATTTAACAAAGTTATAGTTAATAGTTTTATATTTAATTCTAAACACATCTGTCAAGCGCTTTTTCTTTTATTATTTTAATTTATTCACATAAGCATTTTTATTTAGAATTAGTTTTTTGTAATGTTCGAATGTTCAAAAATAAAGGATTACCACCCCTACCAAATGATTTGTTCACTGTAGCTGTCAACCTTAACATAAAGATGATTTTATCTACGAAAACACGGTAATGATTAATACTATACAGTGATTTTCAAGTTCGTGTCCTCTTTTGAAAGACCAAACAAAGTAGTTTCGCTTTCACAACGAAAAACACAGCATCTTGACATGGCGGCAGCAACAATACTACAGCGAGAATCAAAGTTACGCCTTCTTTCTTTGCATGAACATTTGGACGGCGTTATGCAAATCTTCCCACGTCGTGACGTAGATATGTGAGGGCATGTTAGAACGAGGCGTTTTAGGTAGGCGTGGTTGACTCTTAACTTTTATAAAAAATATCTCTTTGGATCTGAGACTTTAGTCTTTGCAACTTCAAGGATCTTATCTATGCACCAACAGCATGTAACACTCCAAAGAGAAAGGAAAACTTGAAATCACATCATATGACCCCTTTAATCATTCACTTAATCACATCACTTCCTGTTCCTGAGATGACCGTGAGACCAGCCTTCACAGTTTCACACTGGTGACTATTGTTAAAGAAGCCAATTGTAATACATTTTTTTCCCCAAATTACAAATAATTTGGAGTGATGATACTTTTTCAGCACATGCTTAGTAAAGTTCATTCTCTAACTGAGATAAGGGAGAGTGCATTTTACATTTCCAATAAAAATAAATGATTTTGAGGTGTAAAAATTATTTTTGATATCCAATTAATTCTATGTATAAAAATTTTGCGACTTTGGAGTCCAAGTTCCCATCCACTTTCATTTGATGGTATAAGAGCCGGGGTAAACAGGGTAAACTTCTTCTTTAGTGTTCCATGGAACATAAGGTCAATAATACAGGTTTAGAAAAAAGCATGTCGGTTTTTAAACAATAAAGAATTTTTTTATTATCGGGTACAGGATATTTATTATTGGATCCGTCTGATTCTAATTTGAACTTTCAATGTGCGTTTCAAAAGCTGTTGGTTATGAAACAGTATTCAGATTAGCATTTAATCGGCTTCTGTTCATTCAAGCAACACAGCTCAAGTTTACAAGAATGTGTCGTTTTTCCAAGGATTAAGTTCTTTCAGTAAACACTATACAGGCAAGCGTCTTTAGAGACTGGAGTTGCTGTAGGTATGGTTAGCGTATTGGAAAGGTAAGTGCTGACACTCACTCTGTGAGAAGGGAGGATATCCTGAGGATACTGCGCCTCCTCTCCACCAACGCTTGGCTCCTCCTCCTGAGAAGTGGGAGAACATGCCTCAAAATCTGTGTGTCCTAGATCCTGCAAGTACTGGAACAGCGGAGAGTTCTGGAGGGGCGAAAGAGACACAACTCGAAATAAACATGGGTCAATGACAAATGAGAATGAGGGTGTCCAAGGTGACGAAAAGGAAACATGATTTAAAATTCAAGTTATGGAATCTTTATATTTATTTTGGTTTAACAGGGTGTTGAAAAAAAAGTGAAAAAATGTCAAGTGGTGCAACCACCAAACATTTGACTGCCTGAACTAACATTGCCATGTCATTTAAATGTACAATAATATGAATTTTAAAAAAAGAATAAAATATGACAATGTTAACAAGATTATTGTTTCTACATTTTTGTTTTATATCATGCCCCACCTAAAAAAAATTAAAAAATCATTCCTGAATGCTTGTTATAGCACAAAAACTTTGATTTGGCTGACAAAACTTAATAATAATAATTTAATAATATTTGAAATATAATGACAAAACTGCTCCACAATTTAATTAATTAATTATTGTTTTTGTTTGTTTGTTTATTCATTCATTCAACTTCAGAGCACAGGCCAATTATACCACCCTGACATTTTGACAAAATATTTCAAATATCAAACTAAATCATATTTAAAAAATCTAATTTGTTTACCACGGATCATGTGTAATACAAGAATGAGAATTACAGAATGTATAAAATTAATTTGATGTTTTCTGTTTGTCAAGTCATTGACCTACATGCATTTGAACACATTCCAGCATAGGTTTTCAATTCATGTTTGTCACCCAAAGTGTGACACGCACGCACGCACGCACTGAAGAATTATAATTTGATGAACAAATGAGTGAAAGTAATATAGAGAGGAAGGGAAAAGAGAGAAAGAGGGGTCCTGATTGAGATATCTCTCTCAGGAAGTTAAGGGCTGTGCTCTCTCTCAGAGAAGAAACACTACATACAACATCCTTTCCTCCCTTACCTCTCGCGTGTCCCTCACTCTTGTCTTGCATCTTCTCAAATGCACCATCGCTCAACAGAGGAAGTAGATCCGACACTCTTAAAGGTCCCAGTTCCCAAACAGGAATCCAGAATCACAGGCTCGTGTCCACTGGTTACCATTGCCACTGGATTTGAGTTGCTAAAGAGGTTTATAATTCTCATATTCTTAGTTCGGTCAAATCCTGCATCGAGGTATAGCCTGCCACCCGTCGTGAACTTTGGATCTTTTTGATCTAAAGCTCATTTGCAGTGAGAGGAATCTGTTGGCGTGTGTTTATTGATGTGAGAGAGCAGCTAAACTGGCCTGCGGCAAAAGACCTGATTTTAGGTCACCAAATGAGAGCAAACCGAATCCCACTGTTTTTGTTTTGAAGTCTGGTATGTGACGATATACAGCATTGTAAAAGCATGTCAAAAATCTGACCAGCACAACATATCGCCAAAACAACTAAATACACAAAACAGGATTTCCATCATTTCTGACCAATGAATTTCCATGCGTTTGTGATTTTTTTTTTTCTTAAGAAAAAGCCAATGATCGTTTTATTTTGTAGCCAATGAAATGAAGCATAACTAGAAAAAAAACCTAGATTCTCTGTAAAAAAAATTATATTCACTTGATTTTAGGTCACCAAATGAGAGCAAACCGAATCCCACTGTTTTTGTTTTGAAGTCTGGTACGTGACGATATACAGCATTGTAAAAGCATGTCAAAAATCTGACCAGCACAACATATCGCCAAAACAACTAAATACACAAAACAGGATTTCCATCATTTCTGACCAATGAATTTCTATGCGTTTGTGATTTTTTTTTTTCTTAAGAAAAAGCCAATGATCGTTTTATTTTGTAGCCAATGAAATGAAGCATAACTAGAAAAAAAACCTAGATTCTCTGTAAAAAATTATTAAAATAAAATAAAATTATTTAACCATTTTACATGACTTTTTTCTGCCATTTCCAGGATTTCTCAGTCGAGCCCTGACACAATATAAAACTAGACAAACATAGGGAAATGAAAGGAAATTTTCATAAAAATTAATTTTCACAACCATGTGCAGTGGCATTAAAACTTGTAGTGAGAAGACTGATAAATGCAGTCACATTGATGGATAACACATTTATATATTTATTTATTTTATTCCTGAATTTTAAGTATATATAGTGTATAACAGGCGTTCATTTTATTTCGGCAATTTTGTCTAACTTTTTTGCAGTCATTAAACTATATTACACACACACACACACATACACATTATATATATATATATATATATATACATATATATATCATTGGCTTATTAAAAACCCATATCCATCATCTAAAATTGCTTTTTAATAAAATCTTTCAAACTGTCAAGCTATTTATTTATTTAATAGATTAATATTGGCTGGAATCGACTATGAAGTAGTTGATCCAGGAAAAACTAATTGTTACAGTCTTACCCAATAAATACTCCTTATGTCCGTTTACTCTACAGTAATTTATTACAAATAGAGATGTAGTAATCACCGGTTTGACGATAAATCATGATAAAATTCCAGACGGTTAGTATTACCGTTTCGTATTTAATTATCATTAAAACCGTATTCGTTTAACGCGATTTAAACAACTCATGATAAATAAATACTGTCCAGCATAAAGCACAGTTTTAAGTAACAGTCTCACGTGCGCACAGCACGCAGAGCAACGTTAGTTTCGTTTTGAGTGAAAACAGGGTGGAAAAGCTGGGAGGTTTTAAAAGAGTGCTAAGGGAATTATACAAATGAATATATGAATTAATTAATTATATGAATGTACCTCTGAAGGTTCTGACTGTCTTCAGAAATGATTCGATGGCATTTTGTTTTCATCTTCGCTCCATGTAATACCTAAAGGAAGTGTTCTTAATGGCAATACTGCTTTGTCCACGGAGGTTACGGGAAACAGCTGTAATTCTGCTTTTCCATAAGCGCCACCTGCTGTCAGCGAGTGGATTTACAGAGACTTATATTTACATTCAGCCTGTGTGCAGTTTCTGTCTGGCCAAAAACGGACTGAATTTGCATGCCCTGCTGTAAATTTTGACCGGATGATGAAAAACAATATTATGTGGACTCTACACATTTAAACAATTCAGATAAGTTATCTAGAATTATTTATGGACCAGATAAAATACATATAATCATTTACTAATCAATTATCATTTTGACTTTACTCTTTTCTTTATTTAAAGGCTGAAATGTGAGGTTTGCCTTTTTATGAAACTTTTTCAAAGCTTTATTTGAACATTTACATTAGATATTGCAACATGCTATTAAACTGTTGTCAGTCAAGTTGTCGTTTAAAATCCGAACATCATTGGTAATGTTATTGTTTTAGTGATTATGCAAACAAAGTCATTTTATTTGTTGTTTGTTTATTTTTAATTATAAAACTTGGTGAAGTGATTTATGTGTCTGTACTTTTTTAACATCTCCAGCACATTTTAACAATACCGAGATGATACTGATAACCGTGATCATTTTGGTCACTATAACCGTGATAAGAAATAGTCATACCGTTACATCCCTAATTACAATCACTGCCGCAAACATATGAAATGGATAAAGATGTAATGTATATCAATGTATATGACAGCACGGTTTCCCTGGTGATGCAGCATCAGTAGGGTGTTGATCTGACAGCCCCAATCTTGACTCATAAAGGCGGATCAAGACCACACATGCTTTAATGCACAACGCTCTTAAATCAGTTTATAGAAAAATAAAATAAAGCAGACCACAGTGACAGACAGAAACTGTCTGCATTTACACTCTGGGGGCGTCTCAAAACCTATTTAGGTGCCTCCCTAAACTGTGTTTTTGGGACATCTAGCCAGACAACATTTTCAAACATCACAGTACCAAAACCTATGGCGCCTTCTTTCTTTGCGTGAACATTTGGGCGGCATTATGCTAATATTTCCACATAGTGAGGTAGATATGTGGGGGCGTGTTAGAACGAGCCGTTTTAGGGGGGCATGGCAGAGTCTTAACTTTTATAAAGAATATCTCTTTGGTTTTGAGACTTTAGTCTTTGCAACTTCAGGGATCTTATCTATGCACAATCAGCTTGTAACACTCCAAAGAGAAAGGAAAACTTGAAATCGCATCATATGACCCCTTTAAAGTCTAGCTCGCTGGCAACCTAGATAGCATTTATTCATCTAAAACCTAAGGAACTGCCAATTTAGATGACATTTCAAGTCTCAAAACCTTGTGACTGACCTGCCTACCTATACAACATTGTTGGGTATTACAACCTAGTGCTCACTATGTTTTGAGGCACAGCCTCTGACCCTGTTCATACAAAATGTATGTCTCCTAACATGTTGTTGTATTATATGAATAAACAAAGCGCGGTCTGTATTTTATTAAAACCCAGAGTGCTTAATAAGCAGCTATAAGTCATTGTAGAGGTGCACAGGAGGAGTGTTATATGTGCTAACTGCAGGCTGCTAACTGCACATCTATCACAGATATTTGAGCAGCTGTTGTGTGCCCGCGTACACGCAAGTGTCTGGATCAAAAACTCACCTCGAAAACAACTTCTTCATCAAAATCCTCAGTCATAGCTCTCCGCCATATGTGTCCATCAGCTGCGCATGCTGGGACGGTAGTCGATATGAATTACAGGAGGGATCTCTACAGCTTCTGCTGAATGCGCAGACACATGCCATGACTTGAACTACAAGTCCCATGATTCATAGCTCTTCTTCTTCTTCAGTTAATCGACGACGGCTTGCAAAATATGTACATATCGACATCTACTAGGATGTTGGTCTTGATTTCTGTGAACAGTATAAAAAGTTAATTCAGTCCTTTTTATGAAAACGGTTTTACTTAATGGTTAAAAGTATGCTATTCTAAAATATGATATTTTAAAACTTACAATTTTACTTCTACTACGTCGGAAATTATTGTTATTAGACAAAATGTAGCGGTTTAGCCACACTCGTTTCCAGGCAGCCTTTATTTATTTATAGATTTTCATATTATTTTTAAGATTATCTAAAAACATTTTGCTGTAATGTCTGTGTGATGGCCATTTCTTTGTTTTCTTTGTTTACGTCTGAATTGTATTGAAACTGTGTATGTGAGTTTTGTATTTTATTTGTGAATTGTTTGTACTGTTCATTCGCATTACAACTTGCTTGTAAATTTAAATGTTTTCAATAAAAAGTTATTTAAAAATAACTACTGACCTGTTGTGCAATCAGATGTCAGTCTGATTACAAATACTGTAGCCAAGTAAACAACTTTGTATTGCAGGATCATGAGATTATACTTATACCATTATTAAGAGAGAGAGCGAGAGAGAGAGAGAGAGAGAGAGAGAGAGAAAGATGGTTAAGAGTAGAAACAGAAATAAATGCATCATTCATTATTCCTCAACGGGGCACATGAAAATAGTCTGTGAGTTAAGAGTTTTATATTTAATACGTCCCAATGTATTCACTGTACTCACATTTTATATTCCCCCTTAAGGAATAATGATGAATTTGTTTCTGTTTCTACTCGTAATCATTTCCTTTTTTCTTGCCACAAACAGCATTGGTACCATCTACTTTTTATTCATAACTCTCAAGCGCAGATGGTGTATTGTAGTGTATTGTAGTTCGATTCGCAAGCGAATTGTTCGTTAGAATCGGTTCCTCTCAAAGAATCTGTCATTCCGAATCGCGCAGGACTGAACTATGCCCTGAAATCGGTTGATCTTGAAAAATGATATTACCTGATAATGAGATACTGTGATTAAAGTGGACACGTTACTAAAAAAATATATCATATTTAATTGTTGTGGTTGTGTAACGCGTATTTCCTTGTTTGTAACGAGCACTTTAAAGGCTGAAATGATCGTGTGGGCAATATGGGAGTCCAAACAATGTGTATTCGTATATCACGTCTTGAAGAAACCATTATTTAGGTGACATAATCAGACACGTTCACTTTTTTTCCTTTATGGATGAAGAAACGAATAACTGAATCAGTTTGTTGAAACGATTCATTGAAATAATCTGTTCAACAGACTGAACTATGCCCTGAAATCGGTTGATCTTGAAAAATGATATTACCTGATAATGAGATACTGTGATTAAAGTGGACACGTTACTAAAAAAATATATCATATTTAATTGTTGTGGTTGTGTAACGCGTATTTCCTTGTTTGTAACGAGCACTTTAAAGGCTGAAATGATCGTGTGGGCAATATGGGAGTCCAAACAATGTGTATTCGTATATCACGTCTTGAAGAAACCATTATTTAGGTGACATAATCAGACACGTTCACTTTTTTTTCCTTTATGGATGAAGAAACGAATAACTGAATCAGTTTGTTGAAACGATTCATTGAAATAATCTGTTCAACGAACCGATTCACTAAATGAATCGGATTTCCCAACGGCGGCGAGGCTATTCAACAGTGAGAGCGCCTCTAGCGGCGGATCATGGACGTTTTTATTCAACTCTTTGACTGGATTTCGCCGTTCCCAGCTTTACAAAGCGGTGGCAAAAAGAAACCATGGCAAGCATGGAGCACATTCCGACTTATTAATAATACAAGGACTTTGGATGATCTTTTGAAGATATCGAGTTGTCTCTCCTTTTAGGACTTGCAATGGCTCCTGCTTGAAGAAAAGAGCTGAATCTGAAGGAACTGTGCTGAATGCAGCTCATTCATGGAGTAAAGCGAGTTGTTTGGGGATCATGAGTAACGTTACAGGTTAGTTTCCTGGATGAATAAACATCAACTAACGCTACTTCTGTTGAGCAAGCAGTCTAGGCAGGCATGGCAGAAACGTAGGGCTTTTATTGTGAGATGTTGCTATATTTAACGGTTTCATTCGAATATTTCCATGTGTTGCAACCGGTGGAACTTTATTGCAGTAGCAGCAGCTTCAGTGTTCCCATTCTCTGTTAGTAGAGGCTAATCTTGTGCTAACGGGATGAATTGCTTAAAACAAGCACAACAAATATCCTGGACGAAGAAGGTAAGGAACGATGTTGTGGTTGTTTTATTTTGGGAAGTCTTTTTTTTTTCTCTCGCAAAAGCTGAAACCTGAATGGATATTGTACTTTCAGCCTTATCCAGGTTTTTCCCCCCTCAGACATATGGAAACCGCACGGAATACTTTGATTTGACTTCAGTCTTTTGTTTCAAGGTTTCTTTATTTACTTTCCCCCTCCCTTCGTGTTTTTTTTTTTTTCGAGATGCACATTTTAATATGTCAATATCCATAACTTTGCCATGACAATCCTAAAACAGATTGGCCATTTGAGCTTCGTGTCAGTCAGAGGCTAATCTTGTGCTAACGGGATGAATTGCTTAAAACAAGCACAACAAATATCCTGGACGAAGAAGGTAAGGAACGATGTTGTGGTTGTTTTATTTTGGGAAGTCTTTTTTTTTTCTCTCGCAAAAGCTGAAACCTGAATGGATATTGTACTTTCAGCCTTATCCAGGTTTTTCCCCCCTCAGACATATGGAAACCGCACGGAATACTTTGATTTGACTTCAGTCTTTTGTTTCAAGGTTTTTTTATTTTCTTTCCCCCCCCCTTCGTGTTTTTTTTTTTTTTTTTTACCATTTTGGGAAGAGTTTACTTTTTTCTTTGTTCTCTCCAATCGATATGGACACTGTTATGTAGGGTATAACCAAAGAGAATAACGCGGAAAAGTCCCGTGACTTTCTTTCCACTGCTGTAAGGAACTCTATCACAGAACATCCGCCTGATGAGTCGGTCTCCCGTGCTGATGTAAAAGCTCGACGCTCCGGATCGGAGAAAAGAATGAGTGGAGGAGGGCGCCTCCAGGATTAGTCTTGGATTGCTTCCCTTGGAATGGGAAGACCACATTTCCTCAAGAGAGCATCAACAAACCCAAGATTTTTTTCTCCTGAAAGCGCTGTCTAAGTGAATTCAGCGAAGTCAACACCGTTGTTTTCTTCCTCTATCATTAATTGTGACATCTGTAAAAGCAGAGTTCTGAAATCACAGTATTGCACTATCATTGGGTCTTCTGTACAAAGTTTCTATAACTGTAGTTTCACTGTTGATACTGCAAAACTTAGTTGTACTGTTGATACTGTAAAACTAACAGGATCTGCTTCAAACCATGTAAACATCTTAGTGACCTTTTACTTACACTTAAAAAAAAAAAATCTGTAAAATTGACGGTGAAAAACTGGCAGCTCTGGTTGCCGGAATTTTATCGTAAAAAATATGGTAGCAACGTTTTAGGTTTTACGGTTTTAACTTAAATTTACAGTTAAATACCGTCATTTCACTAACTGATATAATGTTAATATCCCAACCTATTGAAGTACTGAAATCTGTTTTGTACCTTTGTAATACACTGATAACCACCAAATGAACCAAAGCCCATCACAAGCAGCTTTTAAATAATAACATGTATAGAAGGAGCACAGTGTAATTCACACAAACACTAAACACCATCATGGTAACACACATGAAACTGAAATAATGCAATAAACATTCATTTAACAACATTGGGTGTAACACAGAACCCTAATATACAAAACTGATAAGAAAAAACTAAGAAGAAACATAATTATTTAAACAAAAAATACATAACAGGGAATTCTGGGAATGTCAATTTACGGTTATTCACTGTAAATTATACGGTCTTTCACTTCCAAAAACGGCATACTACCGTAAAATGAATGTCCAATACATGTAATGTCCAATACAGTTTTTCACCATATATAGCAGGGGAATTTACCGTTAACCATTTAACAGGTTTTTACTGTAGCATTTTTACAGTCTTTTACCGTTAAATTCACGGTCATTTTTTACAGTGTAATTTCAAATATTTTTATGGATGTGACAAAGTAACAATAAGTGCATTTTGTAGGAAACTAGGTTGTTTACTACACACTGTTACTTTGGTCAGAATAGATCCCAAATACCACACCTGCCATTAGTTTTGAACATCGCAACACTTCCAGTTTTTGTCTACGTATAACTCAGTAATTCATATAGATTATTTGATAAACTAAAGAGAACAGATATGTATACTTAATAATAATAATAATAATAATAAAAGCTGTATCTATTTGATATCTGTGACTTTGAGAAAAAATGAGGCAATATCAAAACCATCCTTCACCTTCTATACTTTCACCAGCTCAACAACATTATATTGGGCTGAGGAGAAAATGACTAATTTAGGTTGCCATAATCATGCTTATATTTTCTGTGTCACAACTTATATGTCAGTTCAATTATCCAAACCGTAAAGCTTGGGATTTAGTAGCTAGCAACACCAGAAAATTAAAAATGGCTACAATGTTTGATACCTGTGTGACTTAAACATGGTAGACCTAATTTTGTCAACAATGCAGCTGTCATCTCCTACAATTAAATAAATGGAGCTGACAGTTAATTAGCATTTCCCGTATTATCCATTCATTCTTAAAGTTGAATGGTTTTCGACGTCAAAACATAGGTGAATGGCAAAACATTTGACAAAATCAGTGCTTTTTGTAAGGACTGTTTAAGGGATGGTCTGATATTCGATATTTAAAGAAGTATATTGAAGCCACTGTTTAGAATGCTGTACTAGAATATGCTATTAAGCATTATTGTGAATGGTGACAAAATCTTGATCTGATAATGACTCATACTGGACCTTCATTTATAGGTTGTCAGTCACACAATCCTAATAGCAGAGAATCAAATAAATCAAAACTTTTGATGTGCAGATATATACTGATGTAGGTTTCAGAGCTGCATGTCAGTCTTGACCTCAGTCATGACCCATCGTGTTCAGCTGTGTGTGTGTGTGTAGTATTCAAGTCTGTTCATGGAATTCATGTAGTTCCCTCTCTTTCTTCTCTGTGTGAGATTATGTAGGAATGAAGAAACCACCGGTTGCCCCCAAACCCAAGCTGGTTCAGTCGCATAAACCATCACCTCCCCCCATTGCCCCAAAACCTGAGCTCCTACTGCCTTCACCCTCACCCACTGCGCACAAGAGAGGAAAGCCTGCTGTCGCCCCCAAACCATGTTTGCCCAAAGCCCCCCAGAAACCTCTCCAGCCGAGACAAAACCCCTGCAAGATCCAACATCCACCTGTCTCCAAAAATGGGGGTCCTGCTCTAGTACCCTCACACCTGTCACATTACATTATACCACCCAGTACTCGAGGTCATCAACTAGGTAACAGCAAATCAGAGGATTCTAAGGAAATAAGTGGAACAGCGGAGGTAGGTGTTTTCAAAGAGAGCGCAAAAGTACAGTTGTTTTACAATGATGCATCGGAACATGCTTCCCGATCTGAACGGGAACAAATGCATGCTCCCACTGACCCATCCCACACTTCCACAGAGGCACAGGAAGAAACAAACTCTGCCACACTAGAAAAGGACCAGACAAGTGCACAAAAACAAACTTCTCTCCAGATCCCAAAACACAGTCCTACCGAACCCCTACAGGAACAGTCTGCAGAGCAGAAACACACCGGGAACATTTTTAGCTCTTGCACCAGTGACAATGATGGTGTTCCTGCACCACCCAGCAAGCCACTCCCTGTACCCCATCCACGACGCCCTCGGAGGGTGCTTCTTAGGCAGAATGTTGTGGAGATTGCACCTTCGGACACTCAAGCAGAAACACCTACAGAGACTCCTGAACACGTTCAGACAGACACATTACTGGAAAATCCCCAAAACATTTCAAAAAGCTGTCACACCTACACGGACACACCTCTAAATTTATGTTCCCCTAAAGAGAACACGGAAAACACGGACACTGACTTCTCAACCAACACTGATTCTTTGCACAAAGTAGACTCTTTTCACAGTGCACATACTGAAGACGTGCCTCCTGATCTGGACTCCACCCATTATTCAGTTCCGACAAATGGTGTAACTTTAGCTTCCGTGAACACAGCTGCAGAGGAGGGGTCGCAACCTCCAGCTCCGCCACCTCGACAGAAATCCCTCCCACAAATGGTTGATTCCTCATGCAAGGCCTCAACATCTGTGGACAACTTGCTTTTGCATTGCTACTCAGATCTTCAAGAGGTCAAGTGTAAAGGTGAGGAGGTGCAAAGCGATGATGAAGCATATGGAGACTTTGCTCGATACCCAATAACTCGGAGTCTTCCTAAACAGATTAAGCTCAGCTGTGGATCACAAATGGCAGCTAAAACCAAGCCGTCTCTGGATGGGGAGGAAAAGTCACCGAAAGTCATGCCTAAAAAGCCCCAACGAAACAGTCTTCCCGCATCCGTCGTGTTGCGGAAGCAAAACACGCCTCTGCTAACGCACACTCCCCCTCCGCTTCCTAACTCCAGTCCTCCCATATTCGGAGAACTTCCGGCACCTCCTCAAGAGAAACTTTCATGGCGAGTCGCCCTTCCTAGCATCCCTCTCTTCAGTAGAAACCAGCCGACTCGCAGTAACAGCCAACCACAGGCTGGAGGTGGGGGACCTGTTTTCGTCAAAAAGAGGGCAAAGTCGTTTTCCTCTGCAGATCTTCAGCGAGCGGACACCGGATCCGTATCTTCCGAGCAGTTGGTGCGCTCCAATCAAACAAGACGTAGCTTGCGGAAACTTCTAGAGCTGCGTGTGTATGCACGGTTGCTTCCGAAGTTGCTTCGCAGTGGACAGTCCCTGGATTGCACTCGTACTGATGCAGAACACGAGGAAAATAAAGCCACACCCACTAATCAAGTCGCACCTGGCGATGAGGTAGAAGCTCAGGGTGACATTGAGGCTGACTGTGGGGTGGAATACGAGAACGTCACATTATACGAGGAGATTCCAGAGTACATGAACCTGCCCTGGGTCTATTCCAACCAGGATGTGGACACAGGCGTGTATGAAGTGCAGGAACCATGTGAGGTGAACAGGTCAGTTTGTGCATATGCATAAATGTATATATACACAAGTGTCATTATTCATATTACCATCCTGAACTACAGTTGTCTTGTTTAATAGGTTTTTGGATGTACTCAAAAATATTTTAAGATTGTTACAATTTATCACTTTTCAAGCTGTGATTGATTGAGATTACAGATATGGTAACAGCTTTGTGCCAAGTCCAAGCCCCTGTCAAAATCCAAACCCTGATTCCTAAATTTAAAATGTATAACTCATACCCTTCGAACAATTATGGGAAAAATTGGGTATTACAGTATGTTTCATTGAGAATACATTGAGAAATTCTACAAAGGTTTGCTAAGATTATGCGTATTTATTATCAGTGTTGGGGTAAGTTACTTTTAAAAGTAATGCATTACAATATTGTGTTACTCCATAAAAAAGTAACTAATTGCGTTACTTGGTTACTTTTTATAGAAAGTAATGCTTTACGTTACTTTTGCATTACTTTTCGTCACCTGGGCTGGGCTTGATTATTTGTTGTTGTTTTTTTAAAATAAAAAACAGAAGTTATATTTTTGGTAGCTGTAAAGGCCCTTTTAGACCAAAAGTGAAATCAATAAGCCTCAGACTGAATGAAGTGCCTCTGACTCTGCAGCTCACTCACGATTTCTCTCAAAACAGGGACAGAAGAGATGTCAGTAAATAAATGGGGAAACAGAGTAACTTGCATTACTTACTTGAAAAAGTAACTCAGATATTTCGTTGTAAGTTTAAAAGTAATGTTACTTTACTAGTTACTCAAAAAAGTAATCTGATTACATAACTTGCGTTACTTGTAATGCATTACCCCCAACACTGGTACTTACTTGCATATACTATTTTAGCTTAACATGCTAATAGAACAGCACAATGCTACATTAGCAGGATATTTAACATTGAGAATACATTAAAATATTCTACAATGGTTTGCTATGGTTATGTGTAATTACTTATAACGTGTTTATAAACAGTAAATAAGCTTTATACTAATTATTAGACATAATAATCAACATATGTCGGTAGTTAAAACCAAGGGATCACTGTTTGGATGGTTGCATGGTCAAAGACTATAGTAATACAAAGATGGTTCACTCCTATCTATGCTTATGAATGGGAGAAACTGCAACGCGCAATGTGTCGGAATGGTCCCGCCTTCTAAATGAAAGAGCCAATCACTGATTGCTAAAGCCATTGCATCACTGCAGCGACCATTAGAAGCTCCGGTTCCCATGAAAACCTGAGGCAAGACCAGCCAATTCGCATGCGCAGTCATAAGCGCGTTTTGACTGCGCATGCGCATTGGCTGGTCTAGCCTGAAAAATACGCTTTTTTTAACTCTATTTGAGCATAAGAAACAACATTCATGGGGCAGTTCATTTCAGATTTTGTTGCTGATTTGAAATATGTCATTTATTTGTGAGTTCATAGGGCAGTTTTTGAGATTTCAGGATTCCCCCATTCATTTAAATAGGACTTGATCTTGGATGAGCTGGCAGGAGGCGTCGCAAATATGGCCGCCGAGTAAACAGACATTCCTTGAAAGGGTCTTTGGCATGGTCCAGTTAGCCTCTGCCAGTAGATGCCATGACTAGACTACTGCACTGGCAAAAAAGGCCACCTCGGCTAAGACTTCATAGATCAACAAGCTATATTTTAGGATTTCTAATCAGGCAGTCAGTAGAATAACCCCCCCCCCCGCCCCGACGCCACCCCGCCGCCGCCCCAC